ATGCATTATAACATAATGCCCAGCTTCAGTCACATTTTTACAAAAAAATTATAGTTTTTATTGCTGTCCTCGTACCTAGCAGGAATGTTTTTCCAGTTTTCTGCCCTGATAATCACACATGTAGGGGAAAGCTTCAGAAGTGGACACAGACAGCAGAAATAACATCAGAGCTTCTCACCCTTTCCCAAGCCATCTAAATCTAAAAAAAACTTTGGCTGGAGTGGGGCTTTACCTTCCTCTTCAGCTGTTACTACTGAATGATTCTCACAGTTTATTTAATTGCTTCCCTTCCAATCAGAAACAATTCTTAGTTTAGTACCAACCAAAGAAGCATCAAGACACTGCCCTTATCACTTTGATGTAAAGTTGTGTTTCACTGCTCCCAGTTTTGGACATTTTAGTCACTACAGTCCATACTATACTGTGCAGTGTTTCTTCATAATATGTAGTAGCAAAAGGCATGGAAAGAGCTAAGAGGTAAGGTATATCTGAAGCTTGTTTACTTTTGGTATAATGATGACGAGGAGACTAGTAGTACAAAGACATGACTTGTGCTAGAAGGGAATAATCTCCATAATGGTGGTAGAATTCACAGCTAGAATCTTTGGTGCTAGAAGCCCCAAGAAATATAAAAATCAATGATTAACTCAGTTTATGAGTACGTGTCTTAGAATATTAATTTTAGGCAGACTGACACCTTAAAAGTAACCTTTTTGCAAAGTAAAAATTTAATGGAAATATGACAGTTGTATCTTTTTAAAAAAACATTTTCACATTTTAATTAATGTGCCCATGTTTATTACTTTAATCCTATACTGCCTCATGCACACTTGAGATAAAAAAATGCCTGTTCTACAGATGTTTGACTTTTTCTGCTGTTAAACACCATTCCATTTTAGCCTATGTGTCCATTCACACATAGGCTTTTACAAGAGTTTAGAGGCAGGAGTGTTAGAGGCAGAAAAAAAAAATCACTTGTGTGTTCAAAAGAGGAGCATTTTGGCTGAAAAAACTCCAAAACGTACCTAAATGCATGTAAAACACGCCTGTGCGCTACGTACATTTAGCGCTTGTTTTTCTTCATTTCAATGGTCAGAATAAATTCATATTCTGGCCAATAAATGAATAAACTCCCAAGAGCTTGATGTGCCTAAACATATTTGCAAAAACGTGGCTTAGGTGTGTGTTTTTGCAGCTGCTTTTCTGTTGCCAGAAAAGCGTTTAGAAGAGCCCCAGTGTGCATGAGGCCTAAAGGCGATGAGCAAGTCACCTATTTATCTTCATAAAATTCAGGGTGGCCCACCTCCCTCCATCTTTCTGTGCTCATCATCATCATCAAATCAAAAGACCAACAGCGATAAAGGTGCAAGGTCAAGCATGATTTTATAGGAATAATTAAGCTTTCCCTATAAGTTTTATATATGGTTTTCACTAAAACTAACCTCTGCTTATGCACTTTCTTCATCATTTACACAGTCTGAATTACTAAAAACTCATCAAGGTATGCCCTTCTGTCTGTGCACTAATTATTTTATTTTTCACATATTCATCTTATCACCCAAACAAAAATGTTGTTTATTTGGCACTGAAGAGAAGGGTGTTCTTGGAACAGGATGGAAGCACTGGATTGCAGAGACAAGAATCTGACTAACAGGTTGCACAGTAGGTATGTGATTTTCTGTGCTGCTTCTGTTCAAAGTCTGAAGTTACAACTTGCAGTGGTTGGGGGATTATCTACTAAGTGGAGGAGATGAGAGAGCAAAAGACATAGGAGAATGGCAGTTTTCTACAGCGGCCATATAGATTTATTGGAGGCAACCGCTGAAAATGGGATTGACAGAACTCCTAGTTCCTGTAGCACCCCTTAATGTTGCTTGGTAAGCCAGTTCCCATACCAGGGAGCCTACTGTAAATGGTGGGATATGAGAGGTGTGGGTACCACTACTCTTATACCATTGGGAGACCCATTGTCTTCTTGCAACCACAGGGCCTACCAAGTAGCACACCTCTATATGGCCCATAGTGTATTTAATCTCACAGTTCATGATTGGCTAAACCAGTTCATCTGTGGTAACATGAAAACTCAGTGGGCATATTGCTCTGGGTTGTTCTCCCAGAGGGTCACAGGAATAGATACTGAACACTTGTCCTTTCTATGTAACAGGTCCACCAGGTTGTGATAACCCTCCACACAATGCTTGGCATAACATATATCTCAGCTCACTTATTAAAGGAATGTCCAGTCAGGGAACCTACTTTTCTGAATGTTGCATTTAATAACAACTAATAGCACAATGTTTTAAAAAAAATTGTCAGAACATTATTTTCCATAAAACATTTGGTCCTGCTTAAAGGTATTAGTTGCCAGTGTTCTGAGTCGAAGTCTCTGCATAGGCTACTCTCACAGTCCATTACACTACCTTTGCTGAGCTAGGTTCAAGCCAGGGCAAACTGAAGGGAAGCCTGTGGTTAACACCTCCTAACTGTTCTTCATGGCTAGCTCTTCCTACACACCAATCTGCTTAGCAGCTCCTACCCCACTTTCTATACTTTAGCCAGGGTGAGGAAGTCCAGACCAGATTGGCTGGAGACAGAGACATGTGCATACAACTGCGTTTGAGAGAAACATGCTGCTCTAATTCTTAATGGCCCTACACATTGGCAAAAGGCGATTTTAAATAAAGGCTGGGAACTTCTTCCCCGCATTTCTAAGGGTAGGCCAGCCCATTGAAATGCAAAGACTGCCCTACCCGCAGAACAGAGCTGCACAGGTCTGAACCAAGACTAAGTTGGTAAGTGAGCTGGTAATTTTTGTTTGTTGTTTTTTGACACACCTCGCCCTTTCATGGTCTCCTTGCTGCAAAGACCAGTTAAAGTTTGGGGTAGTTGCCATTTGTTTGTACTGTTGGTGAATTGGTATTGGTGAGGGAATCCACTGCATACCTTCACTACCATTGTGCTATTGCTGGGTGTCCAGTGCATTTCATACCTTTAGGTAAGGGTGGGCTTCCTCCAGGCATACCTGCCCATAATCTGTCCTTTGTTATATATATGCTGCAACTTTGCAGACTCGCAAAATTTATAGAGTTAGGACTGCAGATATACTGGGGAGCCATGAAATGGCCTCTACAGCTTATGTATTTATTTGCAAATGTGTGCAGACTAAACCCCTTGTTTTAACTTGAACTGTTAGACAAGGTAATTTGGTTTCTTGCAGGCTGGCTGGTAAGTGAGCTGGGAATTTTTGTTGTTTTTTGACATGCATCGCCCTTCCATGTGCTCCTTGCTGCAAAGGCCAGTTATAGATTGGTGTGGTTGCCATTTGTTTGTACTGAACTAAGACTAAGTGTCCGCAGACAATATACTATTTCTATGAATGGAACTCCTGCCTACTAGGTGACATGCCATGTAGAAATAGATGAGCTTATTTCTTAAAGAGTTTTTATTCATAAACTTGTTTTCCAGTCTCACTTCAGCAGATTGAATCATGATTGGCTACTATGACACACAAGTAAACGTGTACTACATAAAAAAAAAAATTGGAAATAAATTAGAACTCTTTATTGAAAAAGGTACCCGCTCCCACTTCTGGCTCAGTTTTTGCTGTGGCAAATGGATTTAGAAATGGGAGCATGTACCTGTCAAAACCAGGTACCCTCTCCCCCCCAAAAGGTTTCTGATTTGTTAGTTTGCCCCCCCCACCCCCCCGCAGCTCAGTGGGACACCTTACAGATCCCAGAGGACTAATCCCCATTCACAAAGCACAGTAGGAAACTGGCTGTGAAGCCACACAGTTTCCTTTAATCAAGATGGCGGCGCCAGCACCTGACAGCCAATTGGAGAATCGTCTTATGGTGAGGACACTGCTGGATCCCTGCCCTAATATTTAAAGTCAGCAGCTACAGTATTTGTAGCTGCTGACTTTTAATTTTTTTCTGGGGGGGGGGGGAACTCCACTTTAAGCTGGTAATTAAACTCACTTAGTGCCTTATGTGCATTAAATTAGCTTCGGAACCTGTGAAATTATAATTGTAATTATAATGTGTAGATGACAATTAGTTGATTGTGTAGATGAGAGTTAGTTGACTTTTCCACCCTTACACTTAAAATTCCAGCAGAATACAAATCTTCATGCTGATATTAAATAATCTTACATTCATTAATTTTTTAACTTCTCGATTAAGTGAGGCACTGGTGATGTCACCCTGGCTTCACAGATGCATCCTGGGACGTTCCTGCCACATGTTCTAGGAGGCAGGCCCAGAGTTAAAGGAAGTAAAGGGAGATGGATTAATCTGCCCTTAAAAATTGCCACTGTGAGAAGAATGAGTTGAAAACTAAAACTAAGGTATGCAAAGAATAAAAAGCCTGCAATAACTGTATCTGAAAGCATCTGTTTGTAGATTGACATTACTAAACATTTCTAAAGGTGTCTTTGTTTTTATAAGGGTGAAGTTCCTCAGCTAGACAGAAGAAGAAAGTTAAACAAAGTGAAAAAAGGGATTGTACAGAAAGTCAAGCGGCTGGCTAAGCAGGAAGCAAAGTTGGCTGGGGGAAAGTAAAGTACTTCAGCAGCAATCTGGTGTGTGACAGCAGATGGGCAGAAAGTAAAGCAACTGCCCAGGCCAATTTTCAGCTTTCAGTGCTGTCACACGTGGTCATGCAACACTGTACCCATATGAATTTTTTATCATTTTTTTTTGTGACAGATAGAGCTTTATTTTGGTGGTATTTAATCACCTCTGGGTTTTTTATTTTTTCTTAAACCAAAAACCACTGAAAATTTTGAAAAAAAAAGTTTTTTTCTTAGTTTTTGTTATAAAGTTTTGTAAATAAGTGATTTTTCTCCTTCAGTGATGTGTGCTAATGAGGCTGCACTGATGGGCACTGTTAAGCTGCACTGATGGACACTGATATGTGGCACTGATGGGCACTGGTAGGTGGCACTGATGGGCATTGACAGGCATCACTGATGGGCACTGAAAGACAACACTCATATATGGCACTGATAGGTGGCACTGATAGGCGGCACTGACTGGCACTGATAGGTGGCACTGACTGGCACTGTTAGGTGGCACTGACTGGCACTGATAGGCAGCACTGACAGACACTGATAGGCAGCACTTACTGGCACTGATAGGTGGCATTGATTGGCAGCACTGATAGGTAGCACTGACTGGCATTGATAGGTGGCACTGACTGGCATTGATGGGTGACACTGAAAGGCAGCTCTGATGGGCACTGATATATGGCATTGATATACACTGGTAGGCACTGATATGTAGCATTGATGTGGCACTGATGGGCACTGGCAGTTGGCATGGATGAGCACTGACAGCTTGCACTGATGGACACTGACAGGTGGCACTTCTGGGGCTACACTGATGATCAGTGTACATGTCCCCTCTGAGGGATGCCGATTACCGGCTCTCATCTCCTCGAGCTGTCAGCGTGACAGCTCGTGAGGAGAGAAATGCCTATTTACATATGATCAGCTGTGATTGGACACAGCTGATCACATGACCTAGCCAATATCTTCGGCTCTTTTCGTTGATCGGTGATCCGCTGTGTTCGAGGGACACAACGCACCACTGATTGCCGCGCTGTGCGCTCTTGGAGCCACGCATGCACGGTTAGAATGGGAGGACGTCATATGACATCCTCCCAGAACGGGAGAACCACCTTGTGCCCGTCATTGTACTATATGGCGGGCGGGTGGTGGTTAAATGATCAGATAAGCAGAAAACAGCTGGTCAGAGAGTGAAAGCAGCAGGACAAAATCATCAGTGTTGCCAACCTCCCGCAGCATTTTTTGCTGACAAAAAATTTACTGAGAGAGCACTTTTTTTTCTGACAACCTGAAAAATGTCATTATAAACTTAAACAATCAATATTTAAATGGTATAAACACAATATGCAAACACTGACAATACCCACAAAAAGTAATTTGCCTGGTTTACACTTTAAAAAGTCAACACAGCATGCCAAATTATCAGCCCTGATATTTTCAGACAGTTTGTAAAAAACCACTGATTTTTACAAACTGTCCGTAAATTTACTGATGGTTGGCAACCCTGAAATTCAGACAAGGTATGATATGGTATACTGTAGTTGATCAGTGGCACTTGTAACTTGATCTAAAGTGATCCTAAAGCCATGGAATGTTGGGATCAACTGCAATAAAATTGTATTGACAGACAAACTGGCAAGACCGGCAATAAAGCACCTGCTGAGCTGATGCCTGTGACCCAAACAACACATACAGAAAGTTGCAAAGAAAACAGCACGGGTGCTATAAATTATAAACAGCTATATCAGTTCAGATCACTGTATATTTCAGATGGTTAACAGCATATGTATATTGTCATAAATGTAGAAAACAACAACTAACGAACCAAGGAAGAAAACAGCCAACACTGTACTCTGCCTACTAATGTATTTTTACATTACATGAGTAATATTATGCAGGTTCTTTGTATGTATAAAGGGTGGATATTACAATATTTAAAAAATACATTGATAACCAATTTTATTATTGATATTGTTTATGTTGTGTATAGAAAATTCTTCTACACTCAGCTTGAGCTATATAAATGAAAACATGTTTTCTAAAGCATTCGTATATTCACTATGCTCATCAGAGAGGTTTAACTAGAGGACAGAAGCATGGCAGATGATCATGAACAATATCATAATGGGAGGAATACAAACTACAGCACATTCATTAGCAGTGGAATTAAAGTCAATAAGTAAAAAATTGTGAACACAGGCGTTTTATTTTTGTTAAATGGTTCCTTCTAAATAACCAAGAAAGAACAGCGGCGCTATGCTATATAATATAAACTATATGTGTATCCAAATCAATCAACATTTTATAAACATCAAATAATTGTGACTAGAATAAATGAACAAAAAAGTGAAAAAAAAGTCAACCCAGTGCTTTTGAACAGTGCACAGAATAAAGTCCCAATAATGTCCAATCTTGCTGTCAAATAATATATAACTCCAATTTTCTCCAACTTAATTTCTCCACACCAAGTGCTCAGTGCCAACAAGTCATCATACAACACTCACTCACCAGATCTATATGCCTCACATACAAAGTATGTATTTAAAGCATTCTGTCAGCACAGCAGGACCCTCCAGATCAGCTCAATATAAACCAGCATTCATAAAGAAAAGGATAACAAAACTGCAATAGTGTAATACAGTTAAAACACAATTTACCAACTACTAAAAAGCCACTTACAAATTACACATCTTTAAAAGGCTTCTTATTGTAAAAGAGACATGTAATGTCCTTTCTTCAATAAAACACACTTACCTGCATGTTGGCAATTTCTTGTAGAATGTATACTGAGCTGCACATACACACCTTAGTTTACATTCTGGCACACTCACTGTGTGCTGAGATGACTGCATTCCTGTGTATGCACATGATTGACATCATCTTGCGCTGGCCATTTAAGATGGCCAAGGACTGGCACCTGGTTCAAACCAGGGACAAGATGCCACCACCAACGAGGGACCTTGCAGACATCAGACCGTTGGAACAGAGGTAAGAATCTGTGCCCTTAGTTGGATTCTAAGGACATAAAGGAGAGGTATAGCCAAAGCTATTTTGGCTGTACTCCTCCTATGAATCACAGAAGTGCAGTTCGTTCTGCACTCCTGTGATCCATTTTCAACCGAGAGTAGGCTAAAGTTTGCTGTCAGCAGATGTCACACAGCCGGTACGGGCTCTGGAAAGATCCCGAATTTAATGTCAGGATCCTCCTTGATGCCTGGACAGGCAGCTGGCTTAGCCCCTCAGGCAGCCCCTGAGAGTGTGAGACAGCCTCTCCAGGCCCCTGCACAGCCTGGCGCACCAGTGAATCCTGAAGGAGCAGAGCAGAAAGTCGGTGACTGACAGTGTTTGATAACTTAGCTCTCAGTCTTTGATCTGAGTGGGGACAGATGCAGCATCCAACCAATTCTGCATTCACCTAGGCGAGTATATATTTTTTTTTTTTTTTTTAAGCCATACTTTCCTTTTGCCATATGGTTGAGAAACGTGAAAGAGTGAACCAATCCTGCAACCCGTGTCAGGATACAACTAAAGAGGAACATAAGGGCAGCTTAATGCCACAAATAAGATGGGCTGGACAGAAGGAGTATTAGTGCACTGTAGTAAATACACATATTTAAAATGTAGAAGTATGTAGTTGAGTAAAATATTAAAATTCTAGAACAGGGGTCTCTAAACTTTTCAAACAAAGGGCCAGTATACTGTCCTCCAGACTTTAGGAGGGCTGGATTAGGGCCAACAAGGATAGAAAATGTCCTGGCCCCAGCATCAGTGAGAATAAACATGGCCTCAGGGTTGATGGTCAGTAGGAGGAGGAGTAGTGCCCCATCATTGGTATTAGTTGGAAGAATAGTACACCATCATTGATTTCAGTGGAAGAAGTTTCTCCCCCATTGTTGGTCTCAGTGGGAGGAATAGTGCCCCAAGGACCAGATAAAGGGTAACAAAGGTCCATGTCTGGCCCTCGGGTCGCAGTTTGGAGACCCCTGTCCTAGAAGAATTAACTTGGATAATATCACCTGTGATTATATGCCGTACTGCAAGCAATCTTATATTGGTGAAGATGGTGGATATGGAACTAGGTTTTAGTCAAAATTCTGTTTTTTTTTCAGGGACTTATGGTCTTATGTGTTGTGAATGAGTACATGAGATTGTTTTTAAATTAGGAATATATTTATCTTTTTTGCACTTGATATGTACTGACTATGTGTACCGGTTAAAGTTCACAAAACATTTTATGCTGGAAACTACTGAAACCCAATTATTTTTACCTCATTAGGTCCATGATTATTCTTGAGAAATTCTAAAAGAATTTTCTAAAAATTTAAATGACCAAAATGGCCACAGTATTATGTAATTTAGAATGCCCAAAGGGTGACGCCTAATAAAAGTAGATACAACATGGTTAACTAAGAAAAAGCAGGTTCCATGGCATCCATGTATCCTTTGGCACAGAAAGATTAGCTTTTGGCAAAGATAGATCTGGGAGGGTTACTTGAAGTTTGGGGTCACAGGAATGGTTAGTTAAAGGGGGCATTTGAGTAGGGCATATTGGGTAAAAGCTTTGGGTTGACAAGCTTTGGGCACAGAAATAGAATCTGGCTAGCGTGCATTTTGCCTAAGGATGGTTATTGGAGCAGTTATGGGAAAACCTTTAAAAAACAATCATATCAGCAGACCTCAAGATACTAGTGCCTACAGAAAAAAAATACATCACGCTAGTTCTACCCAAAAACTGATAAATCAGAGGTAACCAGAGGTCACCAAGTGCAGTAATGGGATGCATTGTGTAGCAGTTATACATTTCAAGTGCATGAACACTTATCTGAGAAAATCCAGTTGTTTGTTTCCAAAATTCCCTTTGATTTTTAAACTGGGTGAACACAAATTTCACAATAATGGCAATGAAAGATGACGTACATGCTTGTTTTGGTCAATACTATCCACTACATCTATGATTTTTACTCTCCTGACATTGACATCTGGGCATATTCACACATACAGAATCATTACTTTTTAAATACAGAAAAGGTAAAGATTTTTAAATGATTGCTCAGACTTTTACATTTCCAGTAGGTATACTAGCTCACTGCTACCTACAAGGACATCCCTCCACCGGTTCATTGAGTCAAGCAATCAGACATATAACTTGTGAATATTTCTTCAGAATTTTCAGTCTTAAATGCTGGGATAAGAGGTAACGTTTCTGCTCTTGTGCCCACCACAAATAAACATCTAGCTCACCATTCTTTAGTCATAATTATGCTCAATAAAACTATTGTGGAGGAGGGAAGGGGGACATGTAAAGAGCAAATAATGGTAAATGTACAAACCTATGAAATAACTTCTCCAAATGGCCTTATTATCAATCATTATTGGTATTTAGTATCAGATATACAGAGTATATACGGTATATATACAGTCTTATGGAAAGCAAACACTCTATAACTGAGAAAGTCATTCATATTTATGATGTGATTTCTTCTGTTGACGTTCGGTAGTCTTTTCTCCAACCTTTGTGATTTCTTGATGGGGAATTCTGTGCATGTGTCAACTATCTTTATTACAAGTAGTGTGTAAAAAAAAAACTGAAGCCAAGGATGTAAACTTGTATTTCCATGGTGGCAGCCTAGATGTGAGAAAACACTTACACGCTGATATAATTAAACAATGCTCTGTGGGGTCCATTGGTTAAAGTAAATAGGGCTCAGCATGACTATAAAGTTAAGTAATACTAAACCACTGAGTAAGCCTATGAAAGACTTAATAGTAAACTGTACCCTGCATGCTTCTCTAGAGA